TCCGCTGATAAGAACAGGCGCAGCACTTATTTTCATGGGAGCGGTCTTCTATAAACGAATAGAATGCACCACGCCGCTGATATTACGCTTGGTTTTAAAATTGAAGAAAATGGGATTTAAATCTGATGCACTCCATAGCGCACACACGATGCACACACACACACAGAGATATATATACATGTATATGTGTGTGTGTGTGTGTGTGAAATTCATGTATGTTTTGGTTTCCAGTTCCATTGATTATAGATATGTAATATTGTATAGATATTCATTGTGATTCCAAGGAATATCTCACAGGTAATATGTACAAAAAATATTTTCATTTCGTCATGCTCTAGCAACAATATTTATATTCAAACTCTACACTTGTATCATAGATAATAGTGTAGAGCAAGCATTATTTCATATCAATAGGACCGTGGCTTAGAAATGCAAGTTGATGTTTATCTTACATTTGTTATAATACACTTTTCGATGTGGAAAGCAACAATTTTCTTTTCTATATCATTTAACCTTAACCTTGGGTTGATTCAGCCACCCAAAAGCGTTCCAGGACGAATGAAACACGGGGTCTTAAACAGATTAGTGTATTTTTTACAGAATGTATTTGAATGGTTAAAAGAGTATTAACGATCCTTTATATGCAGTTCAATAATTAAATACGAAGGTGTAAACTCGTATCTCATCTTAATTTTAAGTAGTATCGATTAATAAAAAGTAACATTTTCAAAACATTTAAAGTAGTACAACGCTCGAGGCCAGTGTCGACGGTCGGAAGGAAAAATATGATGGAGGATCTTAGAGCCCGTGCATTTCTACTAATTTTAATAGATTTCCGTCGTTTGATTTGTAATTTGAGTAACAACTTGTATCTATTGCTATTACCTAATGTAATATCTGTAAAACGGTTGTAATTTGAGTAACAACTTGTATCTATTGCTATTACCTAATGTAATATCTGTAAAACGGTTATTTAACATGTAATACAATTCAAAAATAAATTAATATTCGTGAACTCGCGTACGGCCTCTAGGAATGGATGTGGAATCGAACCTTTAGCAATATAGTAATAACACTGGCATAGTTGTCGCGACCACTATCCATATAATGTGTTTAGATGTTTACAGCGTTTTTTTTTTTTTTTTTTTTTTTTTTTTTTTTTTTTTTTTTTTGTAAATGGAAACAAGGGCTCCTATCAACTGACTTATACAGGATATGCAAATCCTGGCTGTGTGTGTGCCGCATTCACGTTTATACCATATTGGAGAAGACAACATTAAGCTTAAAAGAGGTGCGCTGTTTCAACTATTGCAAATAAGTTTAAACATATTAACAGGTGTTTACTACTCCGGAGTAAACACCTGTTAATATCAGTTGGCCTCGTCGTACGGATTTTCAAGCACCACTGGGTCCTCAGCCGGCGTTGATTTTTTAAATATTCATTAAATCAGTAGCATCAGACACGCACGGATGTATACTTGAATATAGTACAGTTCCCTACTAATAAAAATATGCATATGCACCAAGAACCATAAATTATTAGAGAGAATATAAAATGTAAATACGCCTACAAGGAAAAATATACGTGCATATGTTTCAACATTATCACTGCGTTAATCAGAGGAAAAAATGTGGTTACAACAGTACAAAACAAACAAATTAACACGTATCCGGTATCCTGACGACATCAGTTCTTAAAAAATGGAAAAATGACACCACGTCAATATGGCTTTACAAGGCAAAATTTAGCACTAGAACTCCTATTACTTCTTTTTCACATATGAACCAGAGCTAGAGGAAAGGTTATTCGTGTCATTGCACTACACAGGAGCATTTGATAGCGTTTTGCACAAGAGACCCCTTAAAAATCAAGAGCCTACAGATAGAGGGAATTTTTTGGCACTTCACGACTATCTCATTGACGAGAGACTAGGAATCAAAATCATAAATCGATGCGGGTCTTCCACAAGGGAGCCTGCTTCGGCCATTAATGTGAAAGACCTATTTGCTCGAACAAATCCGAAGTAATAGCATATGCAAATGGCCTTGCATCTGAGGTTTTCCACAGATGATGCTAACACAAACTGCACAGGACTGCAGATCATGGGTACACTTTGATGCAAATTGATTAACCGAAAGTAAATAGATAAGTTAAAAAAATAAAAGGTGGATAAATAATGGTTAAAATCAAAATAAATGTTAGACATCTAAGGTTATATATAGGAAGGTACAGTAAAGGGTGGTGATAGTTGCTATGCGTCAACTATCTAGAGTAATATTGAGAGGTTAAAGGTGGGTAAAGTTGATGAGTGAATGGGTTATGGTGGGTTTAGGTAAGGGGATTAGATCAAGTGAAGGATATGCATGCGTCTGAAGCACAGGTTGTCAAAGCAAAAAGTGTATTAAAGTGTGGACAGGACAACAGAATGTGTGGAACTGAGAGAGGAACATTACATAGGGGACATAGGGGCGGATCAGATCGTGACATTAGCTAGAAATGTGTTCGACGGGTGTGGCCGATATGTAAGTGTGAGCCATCTCCCAACATCTGTTCCGGTGAAATGGAGCTGACCAAGAAGAGATAGTTTTTCAGCATGTAATTTATTAGTGTGGAAACTTGACCAGAAAGATTGCCGTCGGCCGGGGGATTCCAACATGGCTGGGCACCCAACAATATTGATGTTTAATTAATATATGGGAAGCCTAAGCACTAAGAAAGATTTTCCAAAGTCAGACTGTAAAAAGTGTCCTACAGTTATATAATGGACTGGCGTGAAACAGAACAGCTCAAGTGCACCTTAGACGGCTGAACAAAACCTACGACTGGACATTAAATTTCCTTTTCCAATATTCAGTAAAGGTAGTATGCATATTGATGAACTTCAGTGTCGGAGAAATATAGCAGGACTCACAATTTTGAACATGGATCGAGAATACAGCACACACAGACAATAAACACGTCACAGATATACTGACAGGAACGTGATAATCTCCGATATTTCTAACTGCTCAAGGTGAGGCTCAGATAGAGGAGTGTGATGTCCTACCTTCACGGTTGCAGAACAAAATCACAGGGATCCCTTTACCGAGGCGTTAAGTCACGTCCTTGTAGATGTTAAGGTCTTTGTAAGTACGTATATAGACCTTGGTCTGGTCACCACGACGGAAATGCTGTGGACGCGCTCACTTGCCATGGTCACACCATGGTAGGTGGATGTGACTTTGAAGACTCGCTCGCTCTCTCGCTCTCTCACTCTCTCATACACACACACATAGTCAAATTTCTCATTGAAGATATATAATTTGTTTCATATCTATGCAGAAAGTTGAATGAATAGCCGACTCTCCGCCAAAAGCAGCGTAAAGATCATCAGAAATAATCCAGTTATATATAATAAGTAAATGTCAGGTGTATTTTTGTTATATCACTATTGTGTTAAGGCTTTCTGTTTTTCTTACAAGGAGCTTGATTCTCGAGTTCATCAAGGTGAAAACAGATATCATATATCTGTTCCCACACGGCATGATGGATGTAGAGAGCGAGGACAGTTCGCAATATCTAATCTCTGTTGGGAGTGTTGGGCCACGCAGGGAAACCCCGTATGCTCACCGTTTTACTCGTAAATACGTTTACGTTTATAATTTTTTGTTCGTTTGCCTTTCCTCTACTCATTGCTTGGATGGCTCCTCTCTTTTCTATTTCTGTCTCTCACATACACTAACGCTCACCATTTGTATGTTTCCTTCTCTCCCCTTTTATCAATCTCTCACCCACTATAGTACTATCTCTCTTAGTCCTCTCCTCTCCATCTCCCTTCCTCCCTTACTCAGCGATCGCCGCTGACCAGTCCAGCTTCTGTCCCTGGTCTACTTCTGGAGGACTGCAAGATTTAATTGTCTGCACCTTAGAGGCTGGATCACGTATCATTTTCAACGCCATTTCGCTTTGACTCCGTATCGTGAAGGTGTGAGGCATAAGATGAATTTCCTGCAAGACTTCTACGTGTGGTGGCTGGGAGTGAGTCTATCCATCACGCTTGCGGGCACTTAAAACTCACCGCCGCCTCCGACCGAGCGTTCTCATTGTTCGGACGACTGCTCGGACTACGTGATATCCTCCCAACCACACAAACACATGTGTGGGTATTATTCCTTTTCCGCGTTTTCCGTGTTTAGTTACGAGCTGCGATGGATCATCTGGCTTTTGTTCCGACGATTTTTTTGTTAACACAAAATGGCATTGCAGTTAGAACACGCTTAACAGATTGCCCCCTACTTTATTTTATATAAATACACCAAGCTCTGACACAGGAGTATAATAAAAAATTAACGATGAAAGTCGCATCTTTTAGAGCGCGATAACGCTCTAACCCAAAGGCGTCAAACGCAAAATCCTATTTCACGAACTGACGTATCCCATTTTGAGAGCTCCCCACTAGAGCATGTAGTTTTTCATGCTCTGACACATACCTACAGCTCATTTCTTTTTGTGACCTCGTTGTAGAGCTAAATTATTCTTTGATGTTTGCCAAGAGATTTTCCCATGTTAAGATTTTCACGAACTGACGCAAGCCATATACGACACTTCGCAGGACAGTAGAAATTGGCACTCACCATTTATGTATATTTTCACGACGTGACTTATGCCAAAATGGCCAGACCATCAGTAAAGCTAGCTAGGCCATTTACTTTGGTTTGTTTACATTTATTACTTTTATTATCCTGAAATGTACAAAGGTCATCCATTCACTTATGAGACTGTCAGAGGTGAAGATCTGAAAATGACAGCGTATTACTTTTGCACCCAAAAAAGGCTAATAAGACGTGATGGATGGACTAAAGACGTAAAAATGCATTTTTATAAACCGTTATAATTCTGATGCACTAGAGGACGATTCTTTATGTATATGTGCGGCTGTACAGCAATCCTATAGTCTTATATATTAAGTAAAATATAGCCTACTCCAATGAAACCCTGATATATAAAACTATATATACAA